GACTATGTGAAACGATGGAGCAATCGCAATATCGTACTACCCACATAGCAAGAAGACATCTTAAACTGATACTCGGACATATTAAATTGATTTTGCGACATCATTCATATTCGGAAATCTTAAAATGATGCTGTGACATCTCGGCATCTTGAATTGAAAAAGGTGTGGATAACTAAACCTGTTCCAATTGTTTATTTTGCTGTTTTCTTGTGTTTGGGTCTTTGTGCTGTTGATCAGGAAGTTGCATGCGGCTCGGTAGTGCCAAAATGCGCCACACAGTATACAACTTCTAAATATTTTTAAAACATCTATTGTTTTCGAATTGCTGGGCGGGAATCTTTAAGTTGCGTCTTTCAACAAAGATAAATCCAGTTAAGACCAGTATCATCACTCGCCAACACTGAGAACTAGAAGCTTAAGTTGAAGAATAGGGTAGTTAAAACGAACGCGAATGAAATAGGATACTCTAGATTGTTGAATTATCTTATTTCATCCTAATGGTCGGTAACTCTATTTTGTTGGAGAATATACCGCGCGATTTGTCTACTTATCTTTATCAGGAACTGTGAGGAAAATCCTTTTTATGGTACAGCATTGCTCGATTTGTTGCCACCTAAAGTGTGTATCAGTGAGCAAGGGCAGAAACATTGTTTCCTCGAGCTTCGTAAGTTGGAATGTTCTTCATCCTAATTCTTATGGAGTAGACTGTCGGCCTTCAGAACCGTCACTTGATTCTTCTGCCTGTAGGATTCACTCCCTACTTTGACTGCATAGATGCTTTCGGTTGCCTGGATACGCCGACTTTGCGAAATATGCCTTCAGGAAAAGTTGTAAATCCAGGAATTTGCGAAATCATGTGGTTGTTTCACTAATCGTACTCGACACAGTATCATGTGGATGTTTTGCATCTCCTCCTTTTAATTCAGAAGTTATACAGGGTACTGTTCTTTTCTCGTTTCTCGTTTCACCCCACTTTGCTTCTCACACCACCCCAAACCAAGTTCCGCTATCGTGAAATATCTGGGAATTTTTTTAAATTCAACCCATTATTGTCCATGCACGTCGATGGTTCGAATAATATCGTTTTTCTTCCCCAGACTGAAAATGCATTGTCTACTACAATTTAATTCATAAGTTTATGAATGCTTGATATGTTGAACTTAGGGATCCTTTGTGCTCTCCATTCAAATGGACTCGGAAATACTTATGTCATAACAAATGGTCGTTATTTATTTTCAGGACCACTAAAATGTAATGCCTCAAGTTCCGTTTTCTTTATTCTAATCCTATATTTTGGTTCGTTTATTAGCTTCCATTGGACATATCAATAGGAACGAGTTGTTCGCGTGTCATGTATCCATGTTCCTACACTGAAACAATATCTTGGCAAGGCTGTTTTGTACTGTCTATATTGATTTGATCGATTTCTTTATCACAACCTGCTGAGGGGCACTGGCATGTCAATCGTACAGTGATGAAAAGTGGTACTTGATTTGTTTATGTCATGTGTAACCAAGCGGTTAATACGGTTACACATGCGAGCAACCTCGTGGTTGGTCTGAATAAGACGGCCTTGTACATTCGGTTTTGACCCGACCTCGTCTCGACTCGGTCTACTCTGTGCGCCAGGCCGAGTAAAATGGCCATTACAAGAGGAATACATTCTTTGACGTTATCCCGGTCACCGACTGATGTGCATGTATAAGCAGACACTCACATGTGCTCCACATTCGCGCGATTAATAGGCAACGCGCAAAAAAACCCGCTCGATAACCGAGTGCGCTATGGTAATAAATGCACCTGTAGATTGGAATGAGAACCTGATATGGACATTGAGCTGGTCGCACTTACACACACACACAAACACACACCGAATGTCGATCGAGTGTCAAGCTCAGTCGAAGCCCTTTGTTTACTTCTTGATCCCGCTCTCAATGTACGTTCTCAAGCATTTTTGAGTTGCTAATTTGACCAGACTGCGTTAAAACACTACATTCAGCCTAAGGTCAATCGATTCGTCGTGGTGGGTTCTGGTACTGGTCATTCTATCTTAGTCCATCGTCACAAAATTCATATTCACACATGAACAGAACTCGCTTGCGTTACTTGACCAGGCACAAAAATTTACACATCTCATTTACGAGCGCATGATATTCCTGATCTGGTTTAATAAGCTAGCTTTTTCATAACCTAGAATCAAGGTGGCTCTTATCCTCTGAATGTGGTAAATCCACCGAATTTCGCAGCAGCATTTGTTGGTCCATCAAGTGCGCCATGCGCGTCCTCTTTGCACTCGAATAGACAGATAATGCAATCAGTGTACTTTAAATCGCATAGCTTTTCTCCGGCGGTCCATTTACTACCCGCGTTTTGGAGACTACTTCGTCTACGACGAAATTGAACAGGAACGGCGAAAGAGGGCATCCTTGACGGACGCCGCTGCTGGTGACGAACGGCCTGGTAAGTTCGTTTTAAACTCTCACTCGATCAGAGGTATGTGAGTACAGTGACCTCAGTAAGTTAACTTACTTTTGGGGCATACCTTTTCGAAGAAGGGACCCCATCAGAGCTTCAATTGTGCCGAAGGCTGCTTTCAGGTCAAGGAACACTGCGATCGTCGGTCGACGGTGGGTGTGATGCACCTTAAGGACCTGACGCGAAGTAAACATTTGATTAATACATCCACGGTCAGGCCGGAATTGGGCTTGCTGTCCGCGGATGTTGATCTCTCTTAAAGGCATCGGGTGTCGAAGTAAGACCGAGGCCAGCACTTTGGTGACGATCGGGATCAGACTTATCCCGTGGTGGTTTTCGCAATCGTTGCGAGATCCGTTTTTGAAAATGAAAACAATCGGTGATTCACCCCAAGATGAAGGAATGCACTCTTGCGTCCAAATGTGGTGCAGTAAAGTAGTTGTTGAGCTTACGAGGTTTGAATATGGGTGCGGTTTGTAGCTCAGGTTGATGGTTTGTGGGGTCTTGTGTTCGCTGAGCTTGGCGTTTAGATCGCAAACGTTTCCTCACCAGCCGAGGTGACATCGTCAGTGCGTTGTCGACGATGTTACCTCGGCTGGTGATGAAACGTTTGCGATCTAAACGCCCTATCCCATGCAGTTCCATGGTTTTCCCTTGAGCCTTCGTTGAACAACAATGTTAATCTTTTTGTTGATGCAATCAATTCCATCTTTGACATCTGTTGCCCGGTGGAAAC